TAGACACAACATTGCTGTGAAGATAACGAGATGAATTTCTTCCCATGAGAAAATCCTAACAGTTGTACATCTCAACCCTCGTCAAACCACGCAATACTGTCAAGGCCTTGTCTGAATGTCTGGTGTCTATAGGGACCTGGGGAGGACAAGACCAAATGGGTGTCAATTGTTGGACCCCCTGTGCCAGGGAGGTTTCATCTTTAGTCCTGAACAGGGTTGACCTTCCCCTTGCAAGACTAGTGCACACTTTGGGGATCCTCTGGTGCTCATGGTCCCTGCTGAAGGAGCGGGTGGCAGCTGTGGCCAAGAAGGCCATCGCAGAAATTCATCTGGCGTGCCACCTGTGCTCCCACCTGGAGTGAGGGGTCTGGTCACCTCATACATGGACTAGTGCAATGCACTCTACACGGGGCTGCCCATGAAAACTATTCAAAAGCTGCAGCAGGTGCAGAATGCAGGGGCGATGGCCATGTCATGCCCATGTAATAGCTTTGCTTCATGAGCTACATTGGTTACCAGGAAGCTTCTGCATGCAATTCAAGGTGCTGTTTGTCACCAATAAAGCTCTTCATGGCATGGGGCCTGGTTATATCAACGACCATCTGTCTTTCTGCCCAGTTTCTGCATTCAGGGAGGATTGGCGTGCTGTTGTCTTTCCAAGACAGAAAAGCAAGATCCTTGGTGGGGGTTTATTGGCCAACTCAGTGGAAAAAATGCTCCAGGCAGAGACAGTGGGTGCTCTCGGGCCCATTACCACTGGGTATCTCTGAGCAGCCCCCCCCCCCCCCCCCCCCGTCTCTGTCCACTCACTTCGGATCAACAGAGAAAGGTTGGTTCCTGCTCATCTTTCTATAATAGTGGTCCAAGGAACTTACACTGCCTCTAAAGCTCAAATAAAACCTTGTTTATATGTTTGTTGTTTCATCTAATCATTTCTAAACATGACCTGTGTAGTCTGAATCAGAGCTTTATTCTTCTCTGACCTGTTCAGAAGGCCTGCTCATGTCCTGCACTGAATTTCTGATGGGAACGAGACCTGTTGATGCCAATAAATGTGCTCTTCTGCTCATTTGTGGGCAAGCGTAAAAGCAGACACTGCATGTTACTTGCTCAGATGCACTGTGCTCAGTCCATGAAAAGACAATCAGCTTTCAGGACCTGGTCCCTCCCTCCTGATCTCTTGAGTCAAAAGGTCCAGGGAAGGAAAGGAGATGAAGCTCTTTCTGTCAAAATGGCAAAGCATCTTTCTTGGTTTGGCTTCTCCCGATGTAGGACAACTCAAGCTCAGGCAGTCGGGCAGAGCCAGGGATCCGGGATGGGGAAGGGACATTGCATGGAAGGGGGGGTTGGGGGTCTTCTGCTGGTGGCAACTCAGATATTCAGCTGAGCACATTCAAGGCTTCATGCACATGTCCAAGTCAGGAGCAGCTGCTGCTGAAAGTAGGCATCTTTTCATGGGAATAAAGAAGAACAATTTCCACTACTGCTTATTTACAATACGTATAATCCACCCCAATCATACTGACTTCAGCTGGTGTACAACGGAGTAAAACGCATCAACAGCACAACATACAGTATAATAAAAGAGCAATAAATAATAAGACAGAAACCCCTAATCCAAGGTGAAACGCTCGAGCAGTTCAGTCATCAAGGCTCTGCAAAATGCAAGGAGATTACAGGCCAGATTAAAGCTTGAAAGATTAAAGTTTACTGAAGGCATTAAATGAAGGTGACATTAAGTACTAGGTAGAAAAAGTGCAGGTGAGATTGGATACAAAAAAAGATTGAACTCTGAAATATGCAAACCTGGAAGCAGGGAGAGAGGTTGGGGACAGGGCGGAAGAAGATTGAATGAAGAGAGGAGAGGAGAGGAGTTTTCAGCAGCCTTTGTGAGGCTGGTTGGGTATTATGGGAATTATTGTGCAACACAATGGAGGAAGGCTACTTTAGGTACCCTGAACCACAAGCTGTATGTGGCCATCTCAGTGAGTCTCCTGGAGGCCACACTGGGCCATAAAGCACCTCCACCAGGAGAGAAAGAAACATGGCACTCACTCTAGGGGCTAAAGGAGAGAAAGGCACTCATGTTGGTCAGGCACCCCTTCCCCTCCTCTGACTTGCCAAAGAGCCAGGAATTGCCACCCCTATCTATCTCACCAGCATGAGCAACCCTGGTTGGCAGGCAGACACACCCAGGGCCAAAGCAGGGGATCAGTCCCAGTTATTCTGAGAAATGCACAATCTTTTTAAACGGACGTGGAATCTGGCTGCTTTGGAGAGCTCTACCAGTGGGCTGTAGTTGCTCCTTGGACCTTGGAAGCCTTTCCATCCCCTTGGAAGCCAGGCCCAGCAGTGTCTGCTCGGAGCCAACTGGCGAGAGTGGCTGACGCGCAGAATGAAGGAACCCAGCCTTAAGCCAAATTTGAATCTGGGGAAAACAGAGATGCCCTTTGGCATCTGTGCTTCCTCTGCATTTTCCAGCATGGCTTTGTGAAGTGGTGGGGTGGGTGGGGGGAGCACATTTGTAAACAATTCTTTTTGGCCTGAGCAATGATTGTGATAGTGCCTTAATCTTGGAGAACGTGCATCAGTCCTCAAAAGAGCATCTGAACAACTCATTTAGAATATCTCAAAAGCTTCATTTTCAAAGCTAAAATAGGCAACATTTTGGAATGTCATACTCTGAATACTGAAATGAAAGCAAAGAAAAAAAGTAACTCATCATTTTAAGAGAAAACAAAGGAATGTCACCTCTTTGGCAGAAATGTAGCATATTGTTTGTCAACCCTTAACTCAGAGCAAAAGAAATTTTGAGGAGAAGGACAAGAAAAAGGCATTTGAGAGGCTGGAGTAGGTGCAACTGTTTTCTCATGGTCCCAAATGCCATTCAAGCCATAGAAATGAGAGCCATTGAATTCACTCTCCCACCTCCACCCCCAATTTTAATCCAACGTGGGTCTGGGACTAAGCATCCCTGCCCCCCTTGCTAAAGGCCTTGCTGAGCCTTTCCCAAATCTGCTTGGTTTTTACTGCGTAGACAACAGGGTTGAGCATAGGGGGCAGGAGCTGGTAGAGGTTGGCCAGGAGGATGAGGACCGACTGAGGGATGCCGTGGCCAAACCGGTGGGCAAAGAAGGAGAAGAAGGCTGGGGTGTAGAACATTAGGATGACGCAGAAGTGAGAACCACAGGTCCCCAGAGCCTTGAGACGGGTGTCTTTGGAAGGAAATCTGAAGACAGCCCTAAGAATCAGGAGGTAGGAAGCAGCAATGAGGAAAATGTCTAAGCCTGGAGACAAAAGGGTGGTTACGAAACCGTACCAGATGTTGACCGCGATATCTGCACAGGCCATGCGGGCAATACCCATGTGCTCACAGTAGGAGTGGGGCATCACCCTTTGCCCGCAGTAGGGCAGCCTCTTGAGGAGGAAGATGGTTGGGAACATGACACAAAAGCTCCTGGCAAGAGCCACCAAGCCGGTCTTTGCCACAACAGAGGGAGAGAGGATGGAGGTATATTGCAGCGGCCTGCAGATGGCAACATATCGATCGAACGCCATGGCTAGCAGGATTGTGGACTCTGCAATGAAGCTAATGTGGGTGAAGAACATCTGGGCGAGGCAGCCGTCAAAGGAGATTTCCTTGGAATGGGACCAGAGGACACTCAAGGTTTTGGGCACCGTGGAGGACGATAAGGTCATGTCAGCCACTGCCAGCATGGCCAGGAAGAGATACATGGGCTCATGGAGGCTGCGCTCCATTCTAATGAGGAAGAGCAGGGAGAGGTTTCCCAGAAGCGCAAAGAGGTACATCAGGCAGAAGGCAATGGCCATCCAGCTATGGTATTCCTCCAGGCCAGGGATGCCAACCAGGGTGAATGAAGCGGGAGGAAGGCTGGTCTGGTTGCTGGGCTGTTGGGCATCCTGAAGCATGTTGACTCATTGCACCCAGGTCCAGGGTCCAATCCTCTGGTGGAGGACTCTGCAGAGGGAGGGAGAAAGAAGATGGACAGGTTGCAAATGGAAAGTGTGGTTACACCCAGTGCCCCAAGACCCAGCCACATAAGCCTTAACTAACTTGCAGAATTCACCCATTTTTTGGATTTGCAGTGCTTGGCACCATAACCTGGTCTAATGGGTTGGACCCACAAACAAATTAAGCCAGAACTCCCCTCCAACAAACCTAAGTTAACACTAGCCAAGTTTAGAACGTCAGTCCTTGGTGCTCTCTGAGCTTGGTTGTTTGCTTGCAGACATTTCATTACCCGACTAGGTAACATCATCAGTATGAGTGAGTGTGAGGTTTGCCCTTTGTTTATATGCAGTAGCTTGCCCTGCCAGTGTTGCTAGGGGTGTGGTTTTTAGAACGTCAGTCCTTGGTGCTCTCTGAGCTTGGTTGTTTGCTTGCAGACATTTCATTACCCGACTAGGTAACATCATCAGTATGAGTGAGTGTGAGGTTTGCCCTTTGTTTATATGCAGTAGCTTGCCCTGCCAGTGTTGCTAGGGGTGTGGTTTCCTCCTTGGTAGTTCCTTGATTAGGGTATAGTTTTCTGCTTGATTGTTTGTCTGGTATTAATCCTTGTTTATCTGGGTGTTGGCTGCTGGTGAGGA